GTTTAGATCAAACCAAACCGAACTTAAAAAGACCAGACCGAACCATCAAATTTCAATCCAAAAGAAAACAACATCAGTCTCAAAAGAGGATTGACTGACATGAATCAACACATGACATTAGAGCTAAAAAGATAAGAAAGAGAAGATGAGATAAAAAAGATAAAAAAGATAAGATGAAGATAAAAATAAGGCAAATAAAAATGATAAGATAAAAAGGTAAAAAAATATAATATAAGAAAGATAAAATAATATAAGAAAGATAAAAGGACAAAAGAGACAATCCTCCACACAAATTTTCTCCATTATGGCCTATCCAAAGTCATACTCTGATCCAACTCAAGTAGAATCATATCATTCCCTCACTCCTCTCCGCCTCTCCTCCCCACCTCTTAACTCGTTGAATAGGTGCATCATTTGGTCTTTACGCACGTGACCAAATCACTGCAATCGAGGCTGGTATTTTTCATATCTTATCTTCAGTAGGTGTTGTTCCCACATTTTGTTCATTCCTGAAGCAGTCTTTTCTAGTATGTCGACACATCCAATGCAACATTTGCATACTAATCATACTCATTCTTTGAATGTGACATTGTTTCACCGCCTACTAATCTAAGAAGTCATTGAGGCCATCATTCAAATAAAATCGTTGGATGGGTTGAAATTTTAAAGAATAAACGCGGTGGCACTTTTGTAAATATTTAAAAGCTCAGCGTGTAAAAAGTGTATCATTGTATACTCATAGTGCTGTGTGCTATAGTCACGTTGATCATGGTATACTGCGGAACATAGAACGAAAATGGGATCACGGTTCGCTAATCTATGCAATCGATACACGGGGTGGGGGTAGGCTTCTTCAGTATGCTGTTTCGGTATGCAATACATTGTACCATTAACATATAGAATTTAAAGTATAAATATAATAAATAATAAATATATAATAGTAACAAATAACAATATCAAACAATTCATGTAACATTCCAAATTTCAAATTCCAATTGTTCTCAATTCATAAACTGAATATACTTCAATTATAAGTTCAAGAGTTCAACATATCATAAGTTCAACAAAACAACAAAAGTAATTTCGATAAAACTGCAAACAAACATAACCAAGTTTGGACTTTGGAGCAACAAAAGTAGCGATAAAACAGTAAACAAAGTTTGCAGCAACGACTTCAATAAAACATTGACTTCAATAAAACAGTCAACAAAGTTTGCAACAAACTGCTCAATCCTCTGTCTTTTTCCATGTCATTTGGAGCATCATCTCCCATTGCAGCTTATCTAATCTTGCACTTGAGCCTTCCGCATACATACTTTCAATATTTAATTGTCAACTCTTATGCGGCTCAACTTTGTATGTTTTAGAAAATCGTGATTGGACACGAATGTTTGAATGAATGAATACCCAATTTCTCTTCACATTATGAATGTAAGCAAGTGCTCCAATTCTCTTAGCCCAGGAACTACATATAGGTTATGATGGAGCCTTTTTTGCAACCTCTTTCTGATTAAGGTGCCTCTGAATCATATGTTGACCACCAATTTTACAAATTATTCTCTTAACAGTTGTTCTTTTGGGGTTTCACCATTTTTTTTTAAAAGCTTCCATTACACCTAGTACAACCTCTTTATCCAAGTTCGGAGATTTTCCAGCAACTTCACCGGTTGCTAATATCTCAAGATAGTATACATCACAAAATCGTGACAATAAAGTAAAACCCAAACAATGCAAAAGAATGGTCATCTTCTCCCACCTAGCTAACAAAATTTCCTCCACTTTTGGGTAGTAAGAAACATATCGATTATTTGCCATGGTATTTAATTTCTCCCAACTTATTATCCATTTTTTCATAAATTTCTCCCATGTTGACTTCACCACCGTACTGAAATCAGAACCCAGAGGCGTCTGGCGCGCTACTGTTCCGTTCCGCGATCTGGAATAAACGATTCAGAAAGCAGATCGCGGGTAGGCTGGCGATTTATGTAACTAAGGTCATAGTACATTAAAGTAATGCACTTTTGTACAGCACTTCTACACTTTATGCATTGAAAAGTTGATCTAATCCATTCCAATTTGAAGCATGAATGCTCTAAAGAGACGTATTATCATTATAAATATACTTCAACCTGTCAAATGTTTCTTGGCGGAGGATGGTTTACATGACAATGAAACGTGCTCTTGGGATTTAACTTTAGGAAGGAGGTGACTTGACTGACTACATTGATATGATTCTTTAGATTTTTCTGCCGGTTGGACTTTTTATTATATTTTATTTTATCATCAAGATTGTTTACAGGGATTTTAGTGGAATTTCAGCAATGCAGCTTGTTCATTTTGAAGTTCTATTTTTCATTCCCTTGTAAGCAAATAATTTGAACAGATTTTTCCCCTTCAACTCAACCATAAACCCAACTCTTCTGAGAAACAGTGAAATCTGTTCGAAGCATTGTAGTCTATTTACAAGTATGGCTGTTTGTTGATTTATGTTGCTTGCTTCATGCACTGCAGGCCGCTCGTATGCAGATTGAGCAAGCTGCGGATATCATTGAGAGGTTTAAATCTTCTCCTGTTCTACATCCAACAATAGAAGAAGCAGCAAGGACAAGTGAGACAAGCCCTTATCCTGTGATTCCATTGCCTACAAATCTTCCTCCTGTCAGTTCATCTTCATTTGCAACTCTGAAATCTACAACCGATGAGGAGAGCAGCAAGAGAGCAGCAGCTGCTGCTGCTGTCGCTGCAAAGCTAACTGCTTCGACATCCTCTGCTCAAATGCTCACATCTGTCCTCTCTTCCCTTGTTGCTGAAGAGGCTGCTGCCGCCTCTGCCTCTGCCTTGACTAGCAGCAGTGCCTTAAAAAGAGGTCCAGGGGGTTTCTCTTCTAATTTACCTGAGAAGAAGAGGCTGACGTTGGACAATCCAGCAGGGGCATCTTTATCATCTGAAAATAATGTGGATGGAGGCAATTCTTCATCTACTCCATACTTTTGTGGCACAATTTCCCAGTTCTCATCTCCGCCTCCTCCCCCTCCCCCCATCCCTCCGCCAAATTCCGTCACTTCCCCACTAGTTCAATCTGCAGCTATGATTATGGGGGGTTTGAGCTATGGGTATGCTTCTGCTGGTCCACCCCCACCTCTGCATCTAGCGACTGGACTTACAAGGCTGCCTCCTCTCCAACCACCTCAACAGCCAACTCAGCAGTCTGTCAATGGTGGTGGGTATTATCCACCGCCCGGGTTTGGGTTTTATGGACAGAGTCCTCAAACTCCTCCACCTCCCCCTCCGGTTCCTAGGCACTAAATCAGCATTGATAATGCCTTGTTTCCTTCTGTACATTATTTGATGCGATGAAGTTGCTGTCTATCTAGACAGTGGAAGAGTTTTATTGTGTAGTTTACTTTTCAAGTTTCACTTTGACCTTCTCCCCACCGCCAACTAGATTAGAAGAAATAGTATTGTGCATGAACTTTCTTGTGTGCATTTGTACTAACCATGAGGGCGTATAACTGTTTACATGTAACAGTTGGTACATAACTTTATTTAAGATAGGAATAGTGTTGTCAGTTAAAACCTAGTTTAAGTTTCAGAACACCGGTTACCCTTCATGTGTAAAGGCTCTTTTTGTGTTTGTTTCTCATATTTTATTTTGCTTTCAATTTTGTGTCATTATTATATGCTGATATTTGTATGATATTGTTGTTCATCTCAATCCACATATCATGGAAGAACTTTTTTTCCTTTGTGGATTAACCATATGGGTAGACCGCCCAAATGGAATGAATGCCGAACAAGTTATCTACAAGACTACAAGGTAGCTCGAAATAGTTGGAATGACAACTTGACAAGTGACCACGGTTTGGGGCGGCTCGAGATTTGGGTTGTCCCTCTCCCGAAACCTTTATGGTTTGTTTGTTTGGCACTTTGGGGGTTAACCTAGGTTATTGATAAATATGTGTTAACCTCACATAACGCCCTAAGTCCTTAGTACTTGGAATTTGGAAAAACTTGAAATTGAAGAATCTCCGAAGAGGATGGTTCTGACTTTTGAAGGTGAAGTTCTTGTATAACATAAAATGAGTTAGAGACTTAGAGTATCTTCATCTAAAGAATATTTATTACATTAGTCTAGGTTCATCTTATTTATTTTCAAACTATATTTGACGCATGAATCTAAGTTAACTTAGGTTAATGTAGTTTTACTTGATTTTGTTTTATTGCACTAGATTTACGTAAATTCACTTTACCTAAAGCGAACATAGGAAACAACCATTTCACAACGTTTGGGACACCGACAAGCATTTGTGATGTTTTCACATTTAAATAGGGATTCGAGGCTTCGAGCTTTGAGGAACACATCAAAATATTCATTTAACTGCCTTTGTCATACTTTTGTTCCGTTTTTTCATTTCAAATGCTTTCGACATTTTAGGTAAGTTCTAATAAGGGTATTCCATTTTATCTAAAAATCAGACTCATTTACTGGAGAGAAATTCTTGAAAATAGGTTTAAATGCGTATAAACTAAAAAGTACAAAATAAAAAATATGATTAAGTATGTTTAATCCTCGAAGTACAACTTTTGTCTTCCGTACAATGACTCAAATGAGAAACAATAACAACTTTTCAACAAGGGTGAATGAGTTTCGTTATAGAAAGATATACTAGGAAATGTTATAAGTTTATGATGGTTCGCTCGTGAATTCGTGACAAAATGAAGTTTACATATTTTGAAAACAGGTATGTCCGCATGTCAATATTATTGAAAACAGGTATTTGCAAAAAAATAGCGTATTTTGATTGAATGCATTTTGACAATTTGACTTGCAGGTTATGAGATTAGTTGTTATTTTCAAATAAAGGGGCTCAAACAATAGTTCCGCTAAATAATTTTTATGCAACACTTGAGCAATTCGATGTCAATATTGCTTTTCTTTATGGTTATTGTTTTTTTTTACCCTGGAAGGCAAACCACCCATCGGTGGGGAAAATGCCGGGGAGCGTTTACCGAGATTTTAGTAAGAATAAAAACCGCATACAAAAGAGAGGGGGACCAAACCAAAACCTCCCGACAATTAAGGAATACATCTGAAAGAGAGAATGCGAGAAAAATCAAGATAAAAGGCCTTTCTAATAGTAGGAGGAAACGAAATAACAGACTTGTAAATAGTTAAATGGGCCGGATGAGTAGCTGAAATATAGTGGGCCGTCCAATTCTTTTCTCTTCAGATGTGCCCAAAAGAAATTCATGTCTGAACAATCTCCTGAAACAACGTAGACCACCTCCTTTCCTTCTTAGCTACAAGGATATTCACCGCTCTCAGGGAATCGGATTCCGCCATGAAGTTGCCATAGCCCGCATCAATTGCCCATTTCGTAGCAGTGATAATCGACTTCATCTCCGCATCTAGGCTGGATTCAGCCTCAATCGGAAAGCTCAGAGCAAAAACGAAAATACTTTTCTCATTTCTCATAATCGATCCACTAGAAGCTTTGTCAGGTAAATATGAAGCATCCACGTTAAGTTTCATCTGACCTTTAGGCTTCACCGACTTAGTAATAAGTTAATAACAAATTTGGGGTTTTTGTACTTGAAATTTCTAGGAACGAGTCTTTCCTAAAAAAGGATATCATCCCCAGACCTGAAACTCCGATTAGGGATACTCCAAATCCATGCTTGAGTGTAGATTTTTATTTGGGAAATCAACTCCGGGGAAGTGACTGGATGTGCCCCAAACCATATTTTCATAAGATTTCCAAATATGCCAACAGATAATACCTAGAAGGTTGTGTCTAAATACATCACTCAAAGATTTACTTCCAGCCTGAAACCACCAGTTAAGAAAAACATTTCTGATAGTACATGAATTTGAGATGATTGGGATTTCCAAGATATCCATAAAATACTTCCAAATATCAAAGACTTTACAGCATTGATAAAAAGCATGATTCATACTGTCATTATGATTCCTACACATAGGACAAATGGAGGGTTGAATAACCCTTTGAAATCTGGGAAGATTATCTGTAATAGGTATGAACCTGTGAAGCACTTTCCATTGAAAAATTTTTATGGATAGTTTCAGATGTTTATTCCACATAAATGCTGAAAGGAGAATGTAGAACCCTGAGCTTCTCTAATCTCATTGTATGCAGACTTCAGAGAAAAATTTCCTTCCACTTGAGGCTTCCAAATTATGGTCTGAGAAGAAGAATCACACAGTTCCTTTCTTTATGGTTCTCTATTTTAAGATTTGATTCTCGAGTCTTGTTTAGTGATGGACCAGGCCCGGGTCGGGCCTAGGCCCGACGAGCTTTTTGGGGTTTGGGGTTAGGCCCGGAACCGGCCCGGGTGTCCACCGGGTCCAGTTCGGGCCGGGCTCGGGTCTTTATAATTTTTTTTAGGCCCCCTGACCCCCCACCCCCCAAACCCCCCCAAAACACCCTGGTGACCCAGCCCAACCCGGGGGAAAGCAAAAAAGAATTGAAAAAAACAAAAAAAAAAAAAAAACAATATTTAGGCCCGAACCGGACCCGGGCCTGGCCGGGCCGGTTCGCATTTCCCTTAGCCCGGTTACCCCCCACAAACCGGGCCTAGACCCGGAACCGGTACCCGGTTCCCGCCCAGGCCCACACAGTATCGGGTCGGGCCCACACAGTACCGGGCTGGGCCGGGTGGCCCGCACCGACTCCAAGCCTAGTCTTGTACTCTTGTTGGCCATTTTCCACAGCACGTCCCTATGGTTTAGTTTTCTAAATAGGGTTTGTTGGAGAAAATCTTGAAGATAGAGAATAGTCAAAGATGGACAGATTTTAGCTTTTTATGGGTTGTTCTTCACAAGTATGTACAAGTTGTGGAGACAAAGCTCCAAAATATTTATAGAACCCCATATGACTCCCTTATGGAGTCATATGTGTTATGGTAACACCATTTTACCATTCAATTTTTAAGTGAAGAGACTCATTTAAAAATTGAGTGTTAAAGATGGTTTTACAATACCCCATATGAATTCATAAGGGAGTCATATGAGGCTCTATAAACTTACTCGACAAAGCTCCTATCATCATTTGAGAAACTCATGAATTGGATCACGAGTTTGGTCTCCAGTCCTTTAATTGAGTGTTTGTTCAATAGACTATATCAACAAAAACATCTAAGCTTATTCTTAAACAATACTACTTCCGTTTCATATTGGCAAAATGCAAAAATAGGATTATCATGTGTTTGAAAAAATGAAAAAATAGGAGTACCATGTTTTGAATAGGAGTAACTTTACTGTTTGGACAAGTATACCCCTACCCAAGCCCCAAAAACTATCATTAATAATTAAAACATAAAATATAACATTAATTAATATGTACTCCGTAATAAAATTGTAAAAAAATAAAAAAACACAAAGTATATAAATAAAATATACTCCACTCCGTATTAAATAAAATTAATAAAAATTAAAAATTTATAAAAATAAAAAATATTAAATAAAAAACTAAACAAATAAAAATAGAAAAAATAAAAAAATGAAAAATAAATACTCCCTCCGTCCCGAAAAGGTTCGCCAACTTTGATTTTCACGTGGATTAATAAAGTAAAAAATGTTGTTGAAATTTGTTCAGAGGAGAGATAATAAATTTAGCCACATATTCCTTACTTTAAATGGAAATGCAAATCTTTTTGGGACACCCAAAAAAAGAAATTTGGCAAACCTTTTCCGGACGGAGGGAGTATAAAAAAATATGTAGGCATCCGCCCCTCGCCTCAACAACCTCTCAGCTCCACTAGCTCCGACCATAAAAAAAATGCCAATATTTGTCAGAAATGCAATCATGATGGCAGTTCTCGAGAAAATTTGACATTTTCAAAGGGAAAAACTGCCATGTTTATGGCATTTAAAAAAATGACAATTTTTACATGACTTTTTGCCGATCAGATGTTGCATTTTTGGGTGATGGCCGTAGCTGTGGGAAAGGCTTGCATAATTTTTTTAATTTTTTTTTAATTTGGTTTATCTATTTTATATTTTTTAAAGTTTTTTTTTAAAATTTTTTTAATTTTGATATTTTTAAAAAATATGTTAGATTTTTTTATATATTTTAATTTAATCATATAAGTCATATTTTAGAATTAATTAGGTTAGGCCGTTTGGGGTATTAAGGGCAGAAAATTAATGTTTACTCCTATTGAAAGAAGTTTTAAATTTTACTCCTATTTGTGCAATTATGTTTATGTTCACTCCTATATTGGACAATTTTTATTCATTTTTTAAGTGGAGAGACCCACTTAAAATTGGGTGGTAAAGATGGTGTCACAATATCCCATATGACTTCATAAGGGTGTCATATGGGGCTCCATAAACTTACTCGACAAAGCTCCTATCATCATTTCAGAAACTAATGAATTGAATCTCGAGTTTGGTCTCCGGTCCTTTAATTGAGTGCTTGTTTGATAGGCTATATCAACAAAAATATCCAAGCTTATTCTTAAACAATACTACTTCCGTTTCATATTGAATGTCTTGTTTTAGTATGATACAATTATTAATAAACTAATTGAACAATAAAGTTATACGGAATAGTTGAATTTGACTAGAAGAAAGTGAAAGGTTATTGATCACATATTTCTTACCAAAAAATGAAACATGACATTTATTTTAAGATAATACTAGTATAAAAGAAAAGTAAGACAATTAAAATGTGACGAAAAAAGTAAAATTAACTATATCTACCTTTCTATGCAATCTTCAAAATTTGCCTAACATGAAAACTTTTTCTTTATAAAAGCTTGCTCAAACTTCATTTCAAAACAATACTACGTAGTATCTCAGTCCGAAAATGATAGATTTAATTACGTTACAATTTAATTTCGTTAAAAAAACTCAATTTACTTTAATCTCTAATTTCATGCATCAAAATGTAAACAAATTAAATCATTTTTTTTCAATTCAATAAATTTTTAATGACATTTCTAAATATACAAATCATTAATTTTTAGCTTTATACACAATTTTATTAAGGAATAATAATTTTCTGATTGGCCAAACTTTAAAATCTGCTAGATGGATATCAATTAGGGATAAAAGAAGTACTCTCACAACAATAACATCCAAGCCTTAATCCCAAAAGATATTGGAATAAAATAAGTTCTCAATAAACATCTATTTTAAAATAGTCCCACTCTGAAAAGAACAAACGGAACAAGTCAATTAAAATGCAATTTGGTTTACTCTTCTTAAAGAGGGTGCTGGTCACCCCTCTTTCTTTGGTTGACATGTGGCATTCATATATCCCCTCAAATTGTATTAGTATTATTAATTGTTAAACATTTTAATTATTACTAGTATTGTTCCCGAGCAATGCACAACATACTAATATATTTATATTTTGTATCAATCTGAAATTTAAATATGGTAGTGAAATACACTTCTTTTTAAAAAGGCGATTTACATGTACAATATTAATAAAAAAGACGAAAATATATATGTTCTACGACAAAAAAATAAACTACACATTAAAAAAGTTTCTAGATACACAACATCAATTGTTCATGGAAGTGCTTAGTGTGACATCAATGTTACTTATCAATCTTTTGAATTTTGAATATCTCACATTTGGTAACTTAGGGCACTATAACGTATACTCCGTAGTTGATTGTGACAAAAAATACGACATTTCTATAATGAATTTCCATGATATCTTTTTGACTCATGCTAAAATCTAAATGACATTCTGACATATAGAGTGATTATGACTAAAGTTATTATTATAATGTAAATTTTGAACACATGTGATTATGATTAAGGTTACTATTATAATTACTTGACTTAAAAGTCTAATTAAAAAAATTGAAATCATAAATATGTGATTACCTAAAAAAACATTTGAAATCATAAATATGCAATTGCCTATATTTATTTAATGCATTTATTTCGAATGAAGTCTTCAATTAGATGAAAATAACAACAAATACATGTTAAATTAGTGGGCATTGCTATCTTAATAGAGGTTTTTCCATATATATTGCGTATTACTCCCTCCGTCCCATTTTACCTGTCCTACTTTCCTTTTTGGGTTGTCCCAAAATAAGTGTTTCATTTTCTTTTTTGGAAAAAAATATGTGGTCTACATCATTTCACTTTATTATACTCAAATCTCAACCACAACTTTTACTTTTTCAATCACTTCATTAATAATCGTGCCAAGTCAAGCTAAGACACATAAAATGGGACGGAGGTAGTACTATTAAACACTGTAGTAGGACAAAAAAGTGACTAATGAAATAAAAAGGTACAATTGGGGAAAAGGTCGAAAACAAAAAAGGTCTATAATTCCCCAACGGTAATCAAGTGAAGTCTGCTCCTGATTAAGAGATTGCGAGGTATATTTCAATATGATTTAGATTTTGTGTATTTGTATGAAGTCAATAAACATCAATTCTATATGAATATATTGGTGCTGAAGTATTATTGATTGGGTTCGTTTTCAGAAAAATAAAACTTGGTCGAGTTACAAGAGAATCTAGAAATGTGATATTTTTTTTCTTGGTCGAGTTTTTTCCCGAAATAATGTTAATTAAATAAATAATTCCCAAAATACTGTTGGGTTAAAAATAATTCCCAAAATACTGCTGGGTTAACCGTGGTTAAGAAAAGCCGCCACTTGAAGTGGCGGCTCTTCTCTTACAGTACAAAAGCCGCCACTTCAAGTGGCGGCTCTTCACTTACAGTACAAAAGCCGCCACTTGGAGTGGCGGCTCTTCTCTTACAGCACATTTTGTACATATATAAAACGCAGTATGTTTCAAGAATTTTTTTTAACTATCTTCCCGATTGAATTTTGAGCTGAAATTTTGTATGAATAGACTAGACTTGATGAGGAACATGCTCAAAAACATTTCATCAAAAAATTCCACTGGGAAAACCCTCTGGTGGTGTTGTCTGCACGGGGGTTCCGGTCAGGACGTCGTGACAGGAATAGGACATTTTTATGAAATTTGAGGTGCTTCCGAGTTGATTTTGTTGATGACATTTTGTGATCATGTTCTTTCTAAAGTGTAGGTTATGTTCACCGAATTTCAGATTAAATTTAAATCAAGAAGTTAGTTAAATTATTTATTGAAAAACATGCATTTTTAGGCCTAAAAAATTGTGCAAATTTTCAAAAAAATTGTTTAACTAACTTCCCAATTGAAAGGAACCAACTTCAAATTCGAGCTATCACCGCCATCATTATGCCCTTAACAAACAATTCTTTCTCTTCCACTTGTTAAATAAATATGAACTCTATTTGGGCAGTTTATGGCCATTGGAAAAAATTTCAACACTCGTATCAACTATTGCTCTAAGTTCCAATTGCAGAATCACAGTTTTGCGCAATTCACTTGAGCTCATGTTTGGAAGGCAACAGTAAATTCAAGTTCTGTAATCTAGAGAAGCATGTGTAATCCTACAACATACAAACTATTGATAGAAATGCTCAAAGTAATGTAAAAATGGAAATGCATATTATATATACCACATGCAGCTAAAACATGATGACTTATGGGAAAATTATCAACAAATATGAAACAATAAGAAATTATAAAATATTGCTTCTGGGAAATAACATACCAAACGATATAGTTGCATAATTTCTAAAATTTTCTTGGCAAAAATTTTGTCTCATGCCTTCTGAAAATGTTCATGTAAAGTAGGTCTAAAAGTTGCAATTTTAGGCCTATTTAATTTGAGCTATTTCCGGGTCGAATTTGTTGATAAAATTTGGTGAGCATGTTCCCATGTAATGTAGATATGTCCACCAAATGTTAGATTGAAATTAAATCGGGAAGTTAGTTAAATAAATTTTTTAAAAATGCATAATTTTTTCGGCCTAAAAATGCAGCTTTTTTCAATAAATTATTTAACTAACTTCTGATTTAATTTTAATCTGAAATTCAGTGGACATAACCTACACTTTAGGATGAACACGATCACCAAATTTTATAAAAAAACTTGACTCGGAAGCCCCTCAAATTTCATAAAAATGTCTCATTCCTGTCACAACGTCCTGACCGGAACCTCCGTGCGGACAACACCATCAGAGGGTCTTCCTGGTGAAATTTTTCGAGAAATATTTGGTTCACCTATGGCGTCCTTAGATAATATCATCATACTAAAATCCGAGATTCAATTAAGTTTTATCAATGGCTCATTGATAGCTGACAACTTTTAGAACATGTTTACTTCACGGGTTACTAAACGGTGTTTATTAAAACTCGCATTAATAAGCGGCGCATAATTAAGCAATGTTGTAATAAGAACATGTTTACTTCAAAAGATTTAAAACACCCCTTTAACATTAAAATGTCCAAAATAACTCTATACATATATAGACACATAAACATTCATGAACACAAGTACATAATATAATATGTGGATGTACCCTAACCCCTACCCCACCCTACCCTTCCGCCACAACCTTAACCCCTACCTCTTCCTTACCCCTACTCTAACCACGACCTTATCCTCTGCCCCTATTCCCCTCGTAACCCCTACCTGTTAGGGGTGGGGTCGGGGTCGAGGCAGGGGCATGTGGGGTAAAGGGGTAGGGTAAGGGGGGGTTGGTTAGGGGTGGTAAGGGCTAGGGGGTTAAGGTAGGTGGGGGGATGGGGTCGAGGTAGGGGCAGGTGGATGGTGGGGTAAAAGAGTGGGGTCGGAGTAGGGAAGAGGTATGGGGTGGGTGGAGGTGGGGTAAGTAGGGTAGGATGGGTAGGGGTCGGGTGGGATCAAGTTAGAGGAAGGTAGTAGGGGGTAAAGGGGTAGGGGGTAGGTAAGGGGCTGGGGCAGAATGGGTTGGGGGTAGGTTGGGGGATGGGGTCAGGGTGGAGTAGTGATGGACCCGGGCCGGGCCGGTTCCGGTTCAGGCCTGGGCTCGACCGAGCTTTTTTTTTGGGAAGAGAGAACCGACCCGGGTAGGCAGCGGTTCCGGGCCGGTTCCGGCATTTATTTATTGTTAGAAAATCATTATAGTCATCAACAAAATCAACTCGGAAGCACCTCAAATTTCATAAAAATGTCCTATTCCTGTCACGACGTCCTGACCGGAACTCCCGTGCAGACAACACCACCAGAGGGTTTTCCAGTGGAATGTTTTGATGAAATGTTTTTGAGCATGTTCCTCATCAAGTCTAGTCTATTCATACAAAATTTCAGCTCAAACTTCAATCGGGAAGATAGTTAAAAAAATTCTTGAAACATACTGTGTTTTATATATGTACAAAATGTGCTGTAAGAGAAGAGCCGCCACTTCAAGTGGCGGCTTTTGTACTGTAAGTGAAGAGCCGCCACTTGAAGTGGCGGCTTTTGTACTGTAAGAGAAGAGCCGCCACTTCAAGTGGCGGCTTTTCTTAACCACGGTTAACCCAACAGTATTTTGGGAATTATTTTTAACCCAACAGTATTTTGGGAATTATTTATTTAATTAACATTATTTCGGGAAAAAACTCTGCGAGAGAGATGTGATAAATTTGTGTTCAAATGTTAATAAAATTGTTAAAATTCGTGTAATTGGTTAAATTAAGAAAGACACCGTGATAACCGTGGAGACGATGAACTTTAGCAGTGATGTCGTGAGAAGTTTTAGTTACTGTAAATATAGTAATAACTAGGTTGTTTCATCTGGTAACTTATGGTGTAGTTACTGATTATGCATAAAATAGTAACTACGAATTTGCATTAGTAGTAATTGCCGACTAGTGACTTTTTTGCAATTATCTATATAAGGTTAAAATCGGATACAAAGTGTGTTTCCCTCAGGCTCGGTCCTGACATTTTATGGGCCCGGGACAATATACATAAAGTAGGCCTTACGTAAAACGTTTGAAAATCTATGATTTTTTTTTCTTAAAAATTCGTATGTGAAATTAAGTAGTACAATTGTTACTTTCAATATGGACTTTTGCATTGAATTAGTGAAAGACGTGAAAGTTAAATTGATGGAGTATCATTTATGGAGCAACGTTTTCATATTTCAAATCATGTTCTGACCAGAACAAAACAAATTGCAAATGTCTAAATTCTAAATATTATAATTCAATCTTTCACTTACATGCATGAGAGAACCAAAAGAAATTAGTAGAATACTATCAATGAATCATGGGATTATACGAGAGAAGTAAATGGAAAGATTAACATTTATGTGCTAACTTTTAATGAATCCAAAAAAATGATGAAGTCTGTTCCTGAGACATTTTGGTATGAATGTTTCAAATTTTTAAACTTGTAACTTGTAGGTTTTGTTGAATAACAAATTCAAAATATCAAAAAAAAAATACGTCTTATTTTACTTTAAATTTTTAAAAACTATATAATGTATATATATTTAAAATACATATGCATATATGTAATTAGGAGATGTGTGGGCCCTAGGGGAACAATGGGCCCTGGGCGCATGCCCCTTTGCCCATGCTCCAGAACCGGCCCTGGTTTCCCTGACAAAATGCAAAATCATCACATCCGTTCAATTTGGTAAATCAAGGGACAATATTTTTTTTGAGCACTAAAAGACAGCCGTATTCGTGGGGGAGATTTTTATTCTCTTACCACTAAATATGGAGCATCAATTATAGAAGGAGTTTCCAATCTTGACCATTATTTCATTAATATGGATGGCTAGGATTAGTTTGCACTTTGCAAATTAGAATTAATTTTAGTGTAACATTGTAAAATTTAAATAGGGAAAGTTCCCAAAATAGGACTAAAAAAGTTTGGAAATTCCAAAATAGGACTGTCATGTTTTTATTCCCAAAATAGGAGTAATTACTGCCAAGTTTGGAAAATACTGTCATGTTTGAAGTTTGGTACTGCCAAAACATGACAGTAATTAGTCCTATTTTGGGAATAAAAACATGGTAGTCCTATTTTAGAATTTTCAAACTCTTTTAGTCCTATTTCGGGTAATATCTCATTTAAATATTACTGCAACATAAAGACATTTTTAGTGCTAGGGCTGAGCACGGGTCGGGTTTGGGCGGGCCGGGTCTGCGTACCCTAAACCCGTTCGGGTTTTTTAAGTTAAATACTAGGTCCGATCCTTTGATATTTCAAATCGGGGTTTTCGAATATTTTTACGTCGGATATTATCGGATATCAGATCGGGTTTCGGATATATTAAAAAATATATAATTGGATAATTAAAGTGTTTCAATGCCACTTTGACAAAAATTCTACAAGCTAGTGCACTACACATTCAAATTACAAAAATAATTTAACACAAATTGCACAAATGATTACACAAATAATTGAACACAAGTATTAATTTAACATATTCAAAGTACACACTAAATAATTTAATATATTTCGGATATTCGGGCGGGTCGGGATTTTACAAACCCTACCCGCCACCCGGTCTAAGCCCAATACTAATCAGATTTTCGGTTTCGGATTTTTTAGGTTGGATATCCACCTTCGATTCGGATAATAGAAAAAACTTCGGATTTTGCGGGTCGGTTCAGGTTTTGCTCAACCCTATTTAGTGCAACTCGTAAATCTAATGACTGAGATTCATTTTCATTTCTCGCATTAGATGCATTTCTCATAACATATATATTTATATTAACATCGCCTCTGGTCATCTTCTTCCCCACCCCTTCTGTTTTCCGTCGACCCTGCTCGTTGCTGCACTGGGCAATTGCAGACATTTTTTTTGTTTTTTTGGCTAAAGGGTCAAATAGGCCCTTGAACTGACTTAAAGTGTTCAATTAGCCCCTTATATAGAAGGTTCTGCCCGGCCGTCGCCAATTGAGGCAGTTCCCGGTGGAATTTTTTGATGAAATTTTTTGAACATCTTTTTCATTAAGTCTAATTTACCCGTACCAAATTTCAGCTAAAAATTCAACCGGGAAGGCAGTCAAATGATTTTCCGAAATGTACTGCGTTGTTTAACTTCGCAGTTCAAAGGCCTATTTGACCCTTTAGCCTTTTTTTTTTTCGTTTTTGCTGAACCAAAACGACACCGTTTTGGTTAAGTGTTGAATTAAAGACGACGTCGCACAGATCTCTCGTAGCAGCACTTATCAGGAGAATTGGCCAAAGGCCCAAATTGTGGAATTGGAAATTTCAGACGATAGGTTTAAGGGAAAGAGGTGAGCGACCGAAGATTGAGAAAGGCAAGCCGGCAGCCGTGAAGCGACGCATTAGATCGAGTATTTATTTGTTCAACTTGCCATTATTTTATCCTTTTAGTTATTTAATTTTGGATTATTTGGATTTTGGGTTGCCAATAATTATTACTCATATATTTATATAGTTTTAGATTTAAATTTACGTTTCAGCCTTCCGACTTTGCTGCTTCACTTTTGAGAATTTCTGAATTGACATAATGTGTATACGCGTAGTGATTTTTTTCTTAACTTTTCCGTATAGCTTGTTAGTATATTGTTTTAGGCTGACTATCCTTTTAATTACGGAGTATTTATTTTTCAGGTTTTAATGTTTCAGATTTTCAAAGCTAAAAACAGTTTTAGATTTTTAATAATGTTTAACTAGTTTAGGGATTTTAGATTGTTTTATATTATGAAGTATTACTTATGTAAATAATTTAAATAAACAAAAGTTAATACATAGTAGTTCACTAGTTCATAGTACATTGGAGTGAAATTTCTTAGTAGTAGTATTATTTATGATGAAATTTGTGATTACATTAGATGGTTTCAATATTTTGAGTTTTGATAAGATTATATTTTGAGTTTTGATAAGATTATGAGCCGCTCCAGAACTTTTGTTCTGATTCAGCCACTGCGGCTTACGGTAGCAGTAACTAAATAGTTAACTACGAATTTGCCTTACAAGTATGTGTTAAAACAGTAACTACGAAGTTACTTTAGTAGTAATTGTGGACTAGTGACTTTTATAGTAAATTAATTAATGTGTAGTGACTATTTTGTTAGTAATAAAGTAACTATAAAATTACTTCAGTAGTAATAGTAGACTAGTGAATTTTAGGAGACCAGTGAAAAGATGTAGTAACATTGTAGTATTGACCAATTGATAAATATCCATGCTATAGGTGACATGGTGAGTTGTAGTGACTGTGTCGTGATTAGTTAGTGACTTTTGTGTATGTGAAAGATATGTAAAGGTAATTGTAATGAAGATTAAGTAACTACTATATGTTTTCATTCACAGTGAGATGGAACCATTGATGATAACGGTATTACTTGGAGATGGGTGGAATGAAACGAAAGAATTTAGAATAAAAGCAACTCATGGTATGCTCCTGTACTCCGTAACAACGTATGCGGCTCTTCTTACACAACTGAGGGAGGTATTACATATTGATGAGGGGGTATCTGAGCTGCATATCTCATACCTCATTGACTCTAGTTTCACACCCACAATTATTGAAAGTGATACAAGTCTGGCCTTTTACTTACAACTCAAGGGCATGGAGAAGGATAAAATTGGAAAATATCCCATGTGCGTACAAGTTAAAGGGACGGGCATGCAATCTGAAGAGAATGTTGGGGTGATGTTGTGTGCAGATGATAGTAGTTCTGTTAGAATTGAGCCAGAGTGTGAAAAAATGAGCATGATTAGTGATGCACAACCACTTTTTACTGAAAATGTGTGCAATGGAAGTGCGCCACCTGAGTTGTTGGGCTCAACTCTAAAAATGAGCATAATTAGTGATGCACAACCACTTTGTACTGAAAATGTGTGCAATGGAAGTGCGCCACCTGAGTTGTTGGGCTCAACTCTACGAATTGGTGCGAATTATCCCAGCAAAGAATACTTCAAGGAGACACTGCAAATGTATGCCATTGAAAAAAAGTTTCAGTTTGTTACAAAAACGTCTCATCCGAATGTATTGCACGTCGTGTGTATTGACCACCCTGCATGCAAGTGGGCAGTAAGAGGGGTAAAGTTGAAAGAAACAGATTGTTTCGAAGTCAGAAGGTACACTTAGGTTAATCTACAAAATTTGTGTAATTTTTATTACATTATAAGATGGAATTATTATATGGTGTATATTTCGTTAAGTAACATAGGAATAGAATTAACTGTATCTTATTAGCTATTTTTACGGTTAAATAAAGCAACAGGACAGAAAAGTGTAAGGGAGTTTTTTCAAGCTAAGCATCAAAGTACAGTTACAGTTAGTTGTAGTTAAATATCCCCTAAGTGATAAATCTTAGTAAGCACATATGACAGTTTAGTATATTATGATTAATTACAACCAACATGCATACTATTATATCTATAGTGTAATCAGTATTTATTTATTTACAGGTTCGATGACATACATACATGCTCAATTGATCATAGATTAAGTGGCACTCGTCAGGCGAGTGCAGCTTTGATTGGGAAATTGGTGAAACACGAGTACCTGAATGCATCAGGAAAACCATATCAGCCAAAATCAATAATGTCAGAGTTGGAAAGGAAATTGGGAGTGAAGATGAATTACAAAAAAGCATGGAGGGGGAAGGAGTGTGCGCTCCGATGGGAAATTGGTGAAACAGGAGTACCTGGATGCATCAAGAAAACCATATCAGCCAAAATCAATAATGTCAGAGTTGAAAAGGAAATTGGGAGTGAAGATGAATTACAAAAAAACATGGAGGGGGGAGGAGTGTGCGCTCCGAGCGCTAACGGAGAGATTGTTTCAAAACAAAAGTGTGGGAGGTGTAGACAATATGGGCACAATCAGAAGACTTGTAATAAGCCGCTACCACTCTAGTTTTGGTTTACTTTGTGAGCTGCAAGCCTGCAATTCAGGGTGATAGTTGAGGTTTCAGTTATAAGACTTGTCCAGTTTGATTATATATTTGGAGTGAAGTGCAACTTGAATAATGTTTGTGATATGTGTAGATGAATTTAGCAATATTGTCAAGTCAATGTTATCATTTGATAGAGTGTAGGCATTGGTGGGAGAAGCTGCTATTAGTTTTGTGTAGTATGGTACTCCGTATTATTTTACCTTACAAAATGATGTTAAAGTTAATAGTTATTCCAAGATTTAGCTGAAGACAGTAGTGACAAAAGAAGAACAAACTTAACATTATAGTATAATTAATTCTGGAATGTAATGGATAGGTAGCAGGAGAATAAATAATAAAATCAAGGGAAAATGGAAACTAATAATCCAACCTTTTAGCAGTCTTCTTACAATAGTTTCACCTTTTCATTATTCAAGAATAATCCAACCTCTGCACCTCATCTTCATTCGTTGGTCCCTGACCGGTTAATGACCTGCTATTCCAAGTGATTTTCTTATCTTTGCAAATCATTAGTGAACACATGCAGCCACGTTTACCACTAAGGTGGCATAGAACACCACAAGTATTGTACTCCGTAGTAACTAAATACTAAAACATTCAAGTAAAATGTCAACTACAATCACAAAGAAATAAGTGAATTTTCATTTTCCATCTCCTTCTTGTATAGCCTTAGCCTTAGAGGTCGTAAGTAGTGATGGACCCGGGTCGGGTCGGGCCGGGCCTAGGCCCCGCCACCCCCACCGGTTCGGTGCCCGAACCGGACCCGAGATCCGGGCCGGTTCCGCGCCCGCGCAGTAGCGGGCCGGGCCGGGCGGTCTGAACTGGGTCCATGACTAGTCGTAAGGTATTCAGGAACTTTTACTGGACAAATCTTATTGATGTCCATCCTCATCTGTAGTACTTCAGCAAACTTGAGCATCAAAATGCCACAATCGCCGCTGAAATTAAAATATAAAATAATAAGAATGATGAAACTATGAAAGCAATGAAAGATGAGTGAAGCAGTGGCAGTGAGTCAGTGACAACAGGTGTATATAAATAGAACAAGGACAAAAATTAAGAAAAGTCTAATTATATCATCATCTTGTTATGTACCCTTCACAATGGATTGGTATAGGAGCTTAATGTCCTTATGTGTGACTTTGGTATGGTTTTTGAAAATGTGTTTACTTTCCTGGACCGTATATCTCTATAAACCAAAGACTTCTTGACGAGTCTATTTGTCACTTGTAAGACACATTGACGAAGATATCAGTTTAAAAACGAAACCAGATAATGCCGGAAACTGTTGATATACAAACAGCAATTAAGTACACACTTACAAGCCCACTTTTATGTGTCAAAGAGAGTCTACTGGCCGGGTGGCCGAAGAACCGTTCTTGTTGCAGGAGGAGGTGCTGTAGCAAAGTCATTGTCATCCATAATCTGGTAATTAAACAACTGATTGTCTCCTTCCTTTATTGATCTGATAGTGAATGTGAAACAAAACTTTTAAATTTTTGTGTGAGGAGTTGGCACATATTAACTTGAGAGATGCAACTCATATAAAAACAATGATAGAACAGATACAATGGTTATGAGAAAAGGAGAAACTAAACTGAATAAACCGAAAAATGCATACAAAAGTATTTTATTCTCCCTCATACAGAGGAGTATAAAATATAAAAGACATGCAACTTCATACATATACGGCTCAACCATTATGTATTGAAAGGATATTTTAGCTTTAAAATGCAAAACCTAACCACTTTTTCGTGAAGAGTTCATTAGGTTGAAGGCTTAAACTAATTTGTAATTTCTGAGTTCATGTAAAGTTGAACAATATATAAATTATTTCAGTAAAAAATGATTTTAGGAGATGGTTTATAATTCCAGGAAGAGGAAGACCGAAACAATGAAAATGGAAGGAAGACCCGAACAATGATAAAATGACAAATAATAGTATTCCATTATTTTCCATACTCCCGAAATGATCTTTATAAATGTTCCACATCTTATGGTCGTTTGAGTGGCTACTAAATTTTTCGTCATGTCATGTATGAAATGAGGGTTATAGGGTCACAGGTACGGGTGTCGGAAGTATCCGTATTTTTAAAAGTATGTCCGATACTTTTATTAAATTCAGGATACGGACCCAATAGACGCGTATCGGTGAGTATCGGTATCGGATACGCGGACACGGCATCGGAGTGAAATATCTGTGCACCATATATAGAATGTTTAATATAAATCATGTGTGTAGATTTAGATGGTACATTAAAATACATCCATCCACTACATTTACATGAAAGGTATTTCTCTTTATCAGGCATTGTGTTATACGTTGTATATAGTATCCATTGTTCTCTCTTATGTAGTCTATGGTACTAAGTGGAGATGGATTCTTACCATTTATATCTTGATACATCATACGTAGTACATGTGACTGGAATATGGGATGAGGTGATATCTGGGAACCTCACTTTTCTATTTGATCTTGAATAAATGTGCTCCAACCAATTTTCATGTCAATTAATTATATTTAAATGAGTGAGATTGCTAAAATGATAAGCTATAGAAACAAATGTGCTGAATAATATGGACTGGTGTGTTTATAGAGGTAGATCATATCAGATGTGCATATGCGTGATGGCTACCTAAAAGAAATATGAACACGGAGGGAAGACAGAACTGAAGTTAGTATCATTGAATAGCTAACAAATGTGAATTTTTTATTACTCTTCAATTTTCGTAAGATATTCATTTAAATTTGGGAAAAGGGGCAAATAAGCCCTCGAACTAATAAAAAAAATGCAAATAAGCCCTTTTGTAGGAGGTTCCGTCCGGTCATCGTCATTTGGGGAGGTTCACGGTGGAATTTTTTGATGAAAATTTTTGAGCATCTTATTCATTAAGTCTAGTTTAGTCCTACTGAATTTCAGCTAAAAATTCAACCGGGAAGACAGTCAAATGAATTTTTGAAGATAACTGCACAGTTAAACAACGCAGTATTTTTCCGAAAATCATTTGAGTGCCTTCCCGGTTGAATTTTTAGCTGAAATTCGGTATGGCTAAACTAGACTTAATGAAGAAGATGCTCAAAAAATTCATCAAAAAATTCCACCGAGAACCTCCACAAATGACGATGATCGGACAGAACCTCATACAAAAGAGCTTATTTGCACTTTTTTTATTAGTTCGAGGGCTTATTTGCCCCTTTTCCCTTTAAATTTTATGGCCGGTCATGACTTAAAATGTCCTCTCACGTGTGCTTGCAGGTAATGCTTTAAGTTTTATTTGCAAGGATAGAAAAGGTGCAGTTCGTTCCATTTAAATATACCATGCACTGTTTAAGATTCTAAACCACTATTATGATAAGATAAATATTACAATGATAAAAGAAAATTACAATGCAGTGAGTGTTCGATCTAGCAATCCATCGAGATATGATACAGGTTAACGTGAAGGATCATGAAGGTTCTGTTTCGTTATTTTACGTGTTTAGCATACCGTGTTTTATTATGAACTAAATAAATTTGTTATTTAACAAATTCAATGAAACATAAATATTAGCAGTTCCACGAAGTTTGCTCCCAATTGTTTTGGTACTAATAAGTTGCAATTTTTAAATGAGATTTTCTTATAATTGACGTAAGCTTTTTTCATTTTATTGTAAGCTTCTTACCTTTTGCCCTCATTAGTAACTAATTTTATTTATTATATCAAGTGTGTGAAAGTCATTGTTCTCATTCATGAAGTGATTTGTTGGTGACCTCATAATCTACTATGGAGTATTATTGAACCGTCATATTGATCTCAGATTTTAGTACAATTTTGCATATGAGAGTGTAATGTATCATTTTAGTGGGAAAAAATTTCTTTGATCCTCATTTAAAAATAGGTTGGTTGATTTTCAAATATTTGCCAATGGTTTTCAGGTAGGTTTTGAAACCTATTTTACTTCCATCATTTGCAATGGAGCCAAAGATTCATTATTTTTTGGCTTGATAATATGATGGAATAAAGCAAAATGACTCACTAAATTGTCTGCGCTTCTTTGTTATGAAGCAGTAGTCAGTCCATGCAATTTTGGACGCGATTTTCACTATGGGTCATACGGAAACAGTCTCTCTGTGCTTTAGTACATGGGTAAGACTACGTACATCCGACCCCCTTACCCCACCGTAGGTGGGAGCCTTTGCGGCACTGGGATAAATGAAAATGAATGAAAAATGATCCATAATTCTCTAGCCTTTTATTTATTAGGTATTGGAAGACCTGCTACTCTGCTAGTGACCTGGAATACTATTGCACCTCCTGGCTTCTACTGTTACTTTCATACGGAGTATATTTTCTTTTGTAATAGTCTAGAATCTGCAAGATGAATTGTAACTTTTATTATCATTTCAATATGAATCTGAGAAGTTAATGGGGAAATAAGATAATTTACATAATCATCATTACCTCTGTCCCCATGAGATTTGGATAAGCGTGCGCGGTAAAGTTATTAAGAAAAGTGAAATTGTTCGTGTGGATGATATTTAGTTATTGAAATGTGATAAAGGTTGAATTGTAATTGTAACTACCCAAATCTTACTAAATATGGATTGAGACAAACTTAGTAGAATGAATGGAAATGGAAATGAGGCAAACATAGAGACATAGAACCTCTATTATTTGGTATATTTTGAAATTCCATGCAACTATGAGAACAGTTGGAGTATTGGAACATTGGGATTTGGGACTACTGATATAGCTCTTGAAAACAACTGGAATATTGAACCACTTCATCGATACTTTGTTATTTTGTTATCCCGTGCAACGCACGGGTAAAATACTAGTTATAAGAAATGAAAATAATTATTTTAATTGTTTTGAATGATTTAACGGGAAGTGAAATGGGCAGTTTTCCAAATATGGACGAATCAAGAATTTCTCCATTTTAACTATTTTAACTATTAAAATAAAATAAGAAAAAATTAGTTTCAGTTCAACAAATGAAAATTGTGTTGGGCTAAAGCTTAAGTTGATCTCAATTCTATCAAGAAAATACTCATTATCTAGGAGCAAAGTAGCTTGACAAATATTGGTGAGTAATCAATAAGTGACTTCAAATAATACTGATTTTTTGTGTGATCCTAATAACACATGACACAAAACATAATAACAAAAATTATTAGAACAAAAAAATAACGCTAAATTTGGAATTCAATTTCGAAATCAAAATTAACCCAATAGAATTCAAAAATAATTGAAATATTAAAGCACCGAAACAGAATTAGAAAGCAAAATAATGTACTTATTAACTGCTCGGATACACACAAAACATTTATACTTACTAACAATGGTGTGCTAGTACACTTGTAAGACAAATAAAGCAAAACTCTAATAAGAAAAACATTTAATCATTTACATGACATTTAACCTCTTCATAAGTCGTATAGTTGTTTTGAATGACTACGAGTAACTGTATATGAAACCACCATAATTGTAAATCTCCGTTTTTTTAGTATTCCTGAGTTAGTTAGGGCGTTATATTTCTATATATGAAACCTAAGGAATGCCCTTTTCAATTTTACCTATAATCTTAGTTTTAATTGTGCTGCAACTATGCTTTATTTTACATCTTGCTATATTTCTATATTTGAAAGTTTGAAACCTAAGGATGGCCCTTCTCAAACTAATTCATCTATAATTACAGTGGCTTCTAAAGTTCTACATATATGTTAATGGAACTCTAATTCTTCTATAACTATAGACTATAGTGGATTGTAAAACTAATTCATCTATAACTTTTTTTTTTTTGACAATCAATTCATCTATAACTTTGGTGGCCTCTAAAATATAGGGTTAAATACATACATGAAAAGACAATAACCCATGATCACAAATGTTAAATGAATCACATTTAGCGGAGTACTCTTTGAAGTTTAAAGCATAGGTTATATACATACATGAAAGAGACAATACATTTATCTACTCTGCTTTCACTCCTAGATTCAGATTTTCACATTCTTCTCACGGACCAGGGTGGAATTCTTATCGTTGTCTCCTATCACCATTTCAGAAACTCATGAATTGGATCTTGAGTTTGGTCTCCAGTCCTTTAATTGAGTGTTTGTTCAATAGGCTACATCAATAAAAACATCTAAGCTTATTCTTAAATAATACTATTTCCGTTTCATATTGGATGTCTTGTTTTAGTTGATACAATTATTAATAAACTGATTTAAAAAGTAAAAGTATTTGAAACTGATTAGAAGAAAGTGAAAGGTTATTGACCACGTATTTCTTATCAAAATGAAACATGAGATTCATTTTAAGACAACCCAAAAAGGAAGGTAAGAAAATTAATATCTGACGAAAAAAGTAAAAATTAACTATAACTACCTTTTTCTGCAATCTTCAAAATATGCCTGACATGAAAACTCCCTCTTTATAAAAACGACAGTTTTAATTACGTCAATTCAATTTACTTTTAATTTTATGCATCAAAACGTAAAAAATTAAATCATTTTTTTTTCAATTCAATAAATTTAAAAAAGGCATTTGTAAATTAAATATACAAATCAATAGTTTTTAGCTATATGCACAATTTTATTAGGTAATAATAATTTTAAATTGGCCAAACTCTAAAATCTGCCATATGTGTATCAATTAGGGATAAAAGAAGTATTCAATAAATATCTATTTTAAAGTAGGTTCACTATGAAAAGAACAAAAGGAACTACTCACTCGGAGTGCAATTTCGTTCACTCTTCTTTTGTTGCGATGTGGCATTCCAAAATATTTTTTCTTAAATTGTATTAGTATTAATGGTTAAACATTTTAATTATTTTGATAAAAAATAATTATATAATACTCCCTCCGTTCCCAAAAATACTTCTCACTTTCCTTTTTAGGTCGTTCCCAAAAATTCTTCCCACTTTCCCTTTTTGGACAATTTGTGTGACTCACATTCATTTTACTTTTTTCTCACACAACCACAACCACACATTTCCACTTTATTCCATTTTCTTAATAGGCGTGTCAAGTCAAACTGGGAAGAATTTTTAGGAACGGAGGGAGTATATAATTATACAAAGGGAGAAAAATTGTAGTTCGCCCGTTCAAATAAAATCCTGGCCCAGTGTACGCTGATAGCAAAAAGTCGGAGGTCCAAAACCTAGGGGTGGGCGCGCTCTGGTCCGGTCCAATATTTGTCCGAACTCGTACCCGTACCGTTACTATTCTAACGGTTCGGTTCGGTCTTAGACCTAAACCCGTTCGGTACGTTTCCATTTTCAAACGGGATGGTATCATGTCATACCAATACCAAACAATGCTATTTTTTTCAAGTGTTTAAGGAGAAATTAAAGTTTAACCATTTTCCAAAAATCCACATAACTTATCAATTTTTATACTCTCTCCGTCCCAAACTGATATGCAAACTCAATACTTTTTGGTCGACAAATGTTAAAGTTAAATCCTCTTTATTGATAATTAATTCAATTTTAACAATTAAAATTTACATATTCAGAACTACATTAAATCTCTTCAAAATTGCAAACTCCAAATTAAATATAATAAAAAATTGACATCCTAATTAAGTAATAATAATGTGAAACTGTTTGAGCAAGAAAAGTTGATTTTGCAAATCAATTTGGGACGGAGGTAATATTACATAATTAATAAATTTCAGATAAACTAAAATAGTACAAAGGTGGTGAAAGTGTGAAAGTGTGAAGGCACTACTCAAAGTAATGGTATAAATGTAAATTTAAATAATTAATTCATATTTCGGTCCAGTTCAGTCCGGTATCGGTTCTCATTTTATAAGAACCGGTCATGTCATTGTTTAGAATCGGTACGATACAGTTCATGATAAAAAAAAAATTAAGATCTGTTTCAAAACCCGTTTCGGTCCGGTAACATTTCTGTTCGGTCTTTCTGTACTTTTGCCCACCCCTACCAAAACCCAAGGCAACAAGAAGAAATCCTTCGTCCGTTCTTCTACCTAAACTCGCCAGGGTTGCAGCGAACGCAGATCGAAGAAGGAAAACGTTCCGGCTGATCGCATAGCGCCTGCGAGGCGGCGCCCACTCTCTATCCGCCAGTCCACCGTATCTCCCCGCCTGCATCTGCCCGAGTGCTTGTCTGCCCGCCTTCGCGGCTGCGCCACTGCCAGTCGTCGGTCTCAGACTCTCTGGTCTGCCAGCCGTACTTCCGTGGGTAAGTTGGTATTTTTATTTTAATTTAAGCATTTTTAATCTTTTTAATTTCTAATATATTCGTCACATTCATCTAACATCTCTGACTGTTCTTTTTACTAATCTGATTTTATACAGTTTAAATTTGCTGTTTGGTTTTTGAATAGGTGAATTAATCGTGTGATTTCATTTGTGAAATTTAAAACTTGGGATTATAAATTTGTTAACATATTGATATGAATTATGTGATTGAATATAAAATGTTGATTATTTCATAAACTTTTGTCGATTTAAATAAGATTGCCTACATAATCTACTCCTAAAGCAAAATGACTCACTAAACTAGTGACTTCTTTGTTATGAAGCAGCAATCAGTCCATGCAATTTTTCGACCCAATTTTCACAATGGGTCATCCGGAAACTGTGCATCCGACCCCCTTACCCCACCCCAAAGGTGGGAGCCTTTGCGGCATTGGGGTAATGATGATGACTATAAGTACAGAAAACATACAGAAGTTAAGTGGCTTGATTGAGACTTTAAATATTTCATCCGTTCAAGAGGAATTTGTTTATGATGCGATTAAAATGGAGCGGGATCCGATAAAACGGGAAAACGAAAAAAATGCCCAGCAAACGTTTTAGTTTCATATATTGTCATTATGGATTTATTGTTGAACTCTTCACTCGTTTGCATATTGTACATATTGTTTTTACATTCTTTACTCATTTACACATTGTTTTTAGTTCATATATTGCTTATACGTATATTTCATTGTTGTTTATATTGTTTTGACATTTGTTAGTTCATGTGGTGGTCTGTTTCAAAACGTTACTTTGTAATTTGTATGCAATTTTCCTAAACTCGGTCTGTCTAAATATTATTTCTAACGTGATCAACACAAAGCATATTGCCAAACCCCATATTCATTCAAATACAATACCCATGTGCAGACAGATTTTTCAATTAGAAAGACCAATCCACCAACCATTATAGAGAAGTAAAAGAAACAGTATGAACAACTAAAAGTAAGCCCTACCTGCAAGCGCAAGACTGTGATAAGCTCCAGCCGCAGTACCTACAATCTTAACGGTGGTAGAGCCAAACTCAATTCTGACTGGAAACATTTGGTCAAACTCTGATCCGGTGCTGAGGTCGGACAAACATTCCTACGGTCTTACTTCCTCATCCAATAGCGCCTCAATATCTACTGAATTAGGATTTTTTCTTCCAAATTATTTATTCACTCTGTCAATTTACTGTCGATCTGTTTTCCTTCTTTAGATTAGGTTTGTTTTCGTTAGGTATTGATAAATGCTAATTGATTCACTGCCCATTTAACTTCCAGTTCTAGGTCATTTTTAAAGACAATTCCATTTTTTTTGTTTTTTGTTCTTTTACGGCTAAATCCGGGGTGGTGGTGTACTGCCGATTTTTCGTCTTTAGCCACTTCTACAATATTCTATTAACTCTTTTTTAGTATTATCATATGCCTAGATTAAAGTTAGGGTTAGTTAGCAACTCATTTTTTCTTCGTTTTAGTTTTATCTCTATGATTGTATATCGTAATTTGTATAGCTTAATGTTATTCAAGGGGAACCCATAAAATCTAAATCTCGTCTTAACAAAAATTTCATTATTGCAACCAATTTTTTAATGAGGATAAACAGAAGTCCAAAATAACTTGTTGATTTTTAGCTTATCTTTTATTTTGCCACTCATTTATTTCCCGAGTATTTTTCTGGTTCCAAAAAGACCCGAAGTGTGGTTGTGGTTATATATTCTTTTGGCTAAAGGGTCAAATAGACCCTTGAATTAACTTAAAGTGTTCAATTAGCCCCTTATATAGGAGGTTCTGCCCGGCCGTTGCCAATTGGGGCGGTTCCTGGTGAAATTTTTTGAGCATCTTTTTCATTAAGTCTAGTTTACCCATACCAAATTTCAGCTAAAAATTCAACCGAGAAGGCAGTCAAATGATTTTTTGAAGATAACTGCGCAGTTAAACAGCACAGTACATTTCGAAAAATCATTTGACTGCCTTCCCGATTTAATTTTTAGCTGAAATTTGATATAGGTAAACTAGACTTAATGAAGAAGATGCTCAAAAAATTTCAACAAAAAATTCCTCCGGGAACCTCCCCAATTGGCGATGGCCGGACAGAACCTCCTATATGAGGAGCTAATTGAACACTTTAAGTTAGTTCAAGGGCCTATTTGACCCTTTAACCTATTCTTTTTCTTGTCTCTTATGAAATTTCCATCATTTGCAATGGAGCCAAAGATTCATTATTTTTTGGCTTGAAAATATGATGGAATAAAGCAAAATGGCTCACTAAACTGTCTGCGCTTCTTTGTTATAAAGCAGCAGTCAGTCCTTGCAATTTTCACTATGGGTCATCCGGAAACAGTCTCTCTGTTAGTATAGGGGTAAGACTGCGTACATCCGACTCCCCCTTAACCCACTGTTGGTGGGAGCCTTTGCGGCACTGGGGTAAATGAAATTGAAATGATGTCTCTTATGAAACGCATGATTCTGAAAAATTATTTTACTGTAATACTAAATAATAGTTCACGATCTGGTTTGGTTAGTACAGAAGATATGAAGAGGAGAAAACCAGAAGGAGCATCACCTTCTCAGCCTCTGGTGGATGCTGAAAGTGTAGTCCTCAATTTGATCAAAAGTAAGAAAACTGTTGGAATGTGGTTGGCTGACGTGAAGAAAGAATCAAAGCTTCCACCAACTGTGGTTGACAAATCCCTGGCTTCACTCGTGAAGAAGAACCTCATAAAACCGGTCAAGAACATACAAAACAAATCTAGAAAGACCTTTATAGCTGCTGAGTTTGAACCTTCAGCAGAACTCACCGGCGGTGCGTGGTACACTGATGGCAATCTCAACAAAGAACTCATTAGTATGCTCAAAGGCGCATGTGAAAGGGTCATAAAGAATTTTAAAGTCATTACGGCTGAAGGTATATTTGATTTTCTGAGCCAGAAGAAAGTACTTAACCAGTGCACGAGCGAACAGATTGGCGAAATCCTGAGGTCTCTTGTTTTGGATAATGCAATCATAGAGGTGAAGAGCACTGGGATGGGAGAATATCATTCTATACCACTCGGGGCAGTTTGTTATCGAACAGCAAGTGGTGCTGCCGGGGTGGACTCCAAGACAGTTAGCGCAATGACTTTGATACCTTGTGGGGTTTGTCTGAGGATTAATGACTGTACGCCTGATGGAATCATCTCCCCAAGTAATTGTGTCTACTTCTCCAAATGGTTGGATTTTTGAATTCTAAGCCTTTTCTGCATTAGTAGTAAGGTTTATAGTCATTCAACCAATGGTATTTTTAGGCTACTATGAGATGCTGCATTCTCCTTTGTGGGTTTCACCTGGAAGTCATCTGGGGTTCTTCTACTGCTATTAATCTGCAGATATCTGTTTTTCGTGTCGGTTTTTAATCTTTATAAAATGGATTTATAGCTATTCTTTGTCCAGTTTTGAGTTGGGATAAGTTGTCACCATAATACTACTTTGGATATGTGTTCTAGGGATGAACCTGGTTCTAGTCCGTTCCAGGCTTCCAGCTCTGGATCCAAAAGCAGTACATCAATTTACCTCGTTCTGGAATATGGATCTTTAGCCTATTTTCTTTATTAAAAAGATACAGTATGGAGACAAATGCAGCTCTGGATCCAAAAGCAGTACATCTATTTTTTAAAGTACCAGTAGAATCAGAATCAGTTTTCAGAATTCTCCCCCAGCTTCTAAAAAGTGATTTTAAGAGTAAATTAGAGCACCAGAAGTACTTCTGCACTTTCATCCAAACACTCCAACTTCTGCTTCTGCTCTCTGACGGAGCAGAAGCAGTTTTAAGAATCAAGTCCAAACACCCCTTTAAACTTTCTGGTCTCATCTGGTTTGATAGATGCATGTTCTATTTATACATTACAACATTTGAAGTATGATTTGGTATGCTTAAGTCTAGTTTGTTCTGTTCTGATTTGAAGTTTGAAACCAGTTCAATTAAAAACATCCTTAGTGATATTGTTGAAGTACAAAGTTTAGTTTGGCATTTGGCAATACCACAATTGCTCAATTTTTAGTGGGTACTCGTAGTAGAAAATTGAGTGATTGTAATGATGTCATTTTAGCTCATGTACAACTATTCCTAATGGTGACATAACAATTATCATCATTGACCTCATTATATTATATATTGATTAATACTATTTTTCAAATTATACTTGAATTACCTCATTTAACTATCGTCTAAATAATCGTGCTATCGTGTTCAAAGTTTACATCAAACTTTGAACGAAAGTTATTAATAGTAATCAATAGTAACTAACGGTCTAACATTGAATAGTTTGCATTGTGGTGACTGCTTAGTAATCAATAGTAATTTTGTATACAATTATAGTAACTAATAGTCATTAAATCATGTCTTAGTAACTAATAGTCATTAAATCACGTCTTTGTCCATCATTTTTTAAGGAGTAATATTAGTGAATTTTTTTCTAATGATAATAACAACAACAATTTCGTTTGAGTGGGAGGGGGTGCGTGTATTTGAGAACTCGTTTTCTCATAAGCATCCGACCCATCTAATATAATCTTAAATATCCATAGCTTTTATCTAAGATTTTTGTTCATTAGATGTGATTAATCATATCCATCCATAACTTTTTTCATTTCTTAAAGAACTTTACTCTGATCGATAAATTAATTTAAATCTTATTTGATACTATGCGATACTCGGATTTAAAGTATTTTAATAAAGAAAATTTATATATTTAGATACTACACCATGACAAAACTTTTTTTATAAAATTCAAGATTAAGAAAGAATTTAATTGATAAGCTAGGATCACAGATTAATAAATTTTGAGAAAACTTCTAATGGTGGGACTAAAACATACGGAGTACATATTCTTTAAATAGGAGCAAACATTACATTTCTATCAATAATATAATTAATCAATTTGTTGATGGTAGTTTAGTTCGATGATAGCAATAGCTAACTCCGATGACGACATTCTAGCAGCAGATCGACAAAAAATTTTTACGACCGGCGGCAGTTCAGCAACCTAGGCACAGAAGAACTTCAACCCTATGAGGGCATTTTCATTCCAAATTCCAATCACAAATAAAAAAAGTCTTATATATGGAATTTTAAACATTTAGTCCTACTTTGAGAAAATGACATTGTTTTGGCCCTATTTAGGTAAATGTCTCATAAATATTATGGAAGATTATGTGATCTCATTTAAGGAGTATGTGTGTATGTGTGTGTATGGGATAATGGGAGAGGTTTTGTAAGGAGTCTTTTATAAATTACGTAATACACAGTACAAATTACATGAAACCACACTTCCATGTCAAAATGGTTGACACTTGACAAGAAGACGCAAAACCACGAGGACATTCAAAATCTTTTCAGTTACTTCTTTAACAACTTTTTCAAATGTCTTTTTGAAAGCAAAAAAAGACAGATATACTTAAATCTTGGACAAAGCATATACAACAAAATGACCGAACTTTCAAGAAACTTGTTGTATAAGTGCCTCCAGTAAGTGGTATGCTCTCCCCAATTTGAAGACTAGTCACTACTTTCCAAGCCATGGAAAGCAAGAACAGCCCTGGAAGAACAGATAAATGTGATAAAGAAGAGGTATAGAAAACTATGAAAAACCAGATATTCCTTTACTTTGAAAAACAGCAAATATGTACCTTAGAACTCTCATTTCTCAATTGCTTCTCATTGTTTAGGTCAGGTATTTCAGTTGGCATAACAGGCACTTTCCCTGCCTCACTCTGCTTCTCGTCCCGCACTCTGTCAAATACTTGGCTAAACTGTTCTGCTGATGATGGATCCATATCATCCCAATCTCCGAATTTCGGAATTACAAGGTTGTGATCCGGCTGCATCGAAAATAACACATCATTTAATCCGGCATACAACATAGCCACTGTTTTATCACATGATATATAGAGCTAATTTAAAAAAAAAAAAACTAATAATACAGCCTTTTCCACTTGGGAATTATTTATTTGCTAAAACAGGTTCACTCCAAAATAGCCTTTTATTTGACGGAGTTTGGAAAGCTGGATTACTCTGAAAAGTGGGAATCTTATAAGAAGACCAAAGTTGTCATTTAAGAGAGTTATATTTTCTATAATGGAAATGAGAACTTTATATGGGACGTCCAAAAGAAAAGTGAGAACCTTGAAACATGACGGAGGAGTAATTTCTTACTACAAAGAACATTAATAATAACATGTAGTCAAAGTAGAGCATTGCGAATAGTGTAAAAATGGAGGAAAGGACATTTAACAATTCCTAGTCGACAATGCACTAGAGGGGAGGGGAGGGGAGGGGAAGGACATTACCGTGTCATCACCTTTTGTGACTGGTCTAAGACGAGATCTAGAAGGCGTCGAGGGAGCTATTGGACGGCCACCTTCGGATAAACCTTTTCTTTCCCATGTGGGAGAAGAAACCCCTGCACCCCCTCTACCACCACCACCTCCAATCCTTGCAGGGTGCAGTGGTGAAAACTCAAGACTTCGGTCTCCGTGACGAGAAGCTCTCCTTGGAGTACTATCGCCAGCATTACGATGAAGGGGTGACTCAAAGGGAGTTCTCCTTCCACCATTCTCAGCCCCCCGTAAGGGAGAATCAACATCGTCTCGACTCCATTGTCGCACATGTTTTATCTTTAGTGGAGCAGGGCGCTTTATTTTTCCTGTTTTGCCACCGCCGTGTTGATGAACAGGGGATTCACTTGTTAATACAGCAATGGAGTCTACTTGAGCATTAAGTGGATTCATGTTTTCACCTTTTTCATTCTTGCCGACATTTTCCAAATTGGCGGTATCGGGTGATTGCAAGAGCTGCTGCACAAATTCGAATTAAATATACACCGAGATAATGTGCAATATGGTGCAATAATGTAACTAAGAAAATTCAAGGAGATTCCAGTAACTTGATAGCAAAGAAGTGTTGTTTTGTTTGACTGTCATTTAGGACATTCAGAATTCAAGCAAGAACTGCTACACATTTAACCTGCTTTGGACGAAAGACGATATAACCCAGAGAAAACATAAGAATTTGTTTAACTAGTTCATCAGAAGAAGACTACTCTGGAACCTGTCAAGCTAGAGTTTTCGCTAACTTTGATAGAGATGATATAATATAGGAAAAGGTGTTTTATGCATAAAAGATTTAGGCTTTCCCAGTGTATGAAATTTTAGATTTCAGTTAATAGTGTGACAATACAACAATAAAATAGGCAAAGCTAGGAATTAAAAAACTGTCATATAAGTGTATGCATATGACACCACGCCATCAGAATAGGAACTAAAAAACTGCTATATATATAAGTGTATGCAATGCAAGTCTTTTCTAGAACCAGTTTATCAGCAAACACTAATGACAAACGGGGCTCCTTTTAGTCTTCAACTTATGGCCTTTTGCAAACATAGAATCTATTTGCAAACACACTTCCCAATTTGAGCAGTTTGCAGGTTGCACTGACCACTGGGTAACAAATATAGAACAGATTCATCACAATTTATTATGCAACTAAAGGTCTTCGAGATGTCCTCCAAGGAAATTTGTATTACTATTCACCCTCATGATCATATAGTACAACTTTTTTATTGCATATGCCCCCTCACTGGCCCTCAGCATCAAGTGTAAAAATAACCCCCTCTCCCAATTTGAAATAAACTTTTTTTATTCTGTAGTCGAGGCTTTGCTAACCAAAATTAAATGATGAGATTTGGAAACAATGTTTGGAATGATCAAATAAGCTCTCTGACAATTTGCAAATTATTTTGCTTGAATGGAAAGATATCTGCACAATTTCTATTTCTGCAAATGATTTTCAGCTTTTTATACATAGGCCAAGATTTCATAACTTCATTCTCGTGCTCATAGCAATATTTAATTACCTATATTTGCTTCAAAATTGAGATAGCCATTGTTTTTTCTATGTACCCAGAGTAAATTTATGTTGTTGGATAACACATGAGAGTATGAGAGCATGGAAATACCGAAAATGTCATATATAATGCATTATAACTCAAAACATGACATGACAAATGCAGTTTAATCAACTTGTGCAATGTAGCTGTCTATAGCATAAGTAAATTAGGGAAAGCAGAAAGAATTGATCTAACAAAATGTTAAGCTCGAGGTTTGAGGTAGTAAGCCATAAACACTTCAGTTTACTATTTCTGACTTTATTTGTATCATTATTCCCACATAGCCATATGTAAACTTCTAAGTTCCAACATCAAATTGAGACCTAAAACTAGTGTGATATATTGTTATCAATTTTGTACAGTAACGAAAAGAAAAAGCATAAAATAAAGGCATACAAATGTGTTTACCCTATAAGTTAACAGAATACTTAAACACTAATCTTGTGAGATACTTCCTCCATTCTTTTTTTAATTGCAACAATCCACTTCTCACGCTTGCCAACGCACAAGTTTGACCATTAATATCTTTCATTCCTCATTAGTAAAAAAAATTAAAAAAATCAGATTTTGAAAATTTAAAATGAGAGGAATTGAAAAGAATTTTTTAAAAATTTAATTTATAATAAATCAATAAATAAAATATAGTCAAAGTTGAATATGTGAATAGTGCAAAAAGTACAATGTTGCTATTAAAAGAGAATGGAGGTAGTACACAATCCAAAACAAAAGAAACTGTTTATAATACGTATGCAATTTTAGTAAAAGTTCATGTGGACCCATTCAAAAACCTCAAAGTTATGGAAGCGATGAAATCCGGTATGGCTTGGTGTAAGGGTGTTTTCAGTTTGAATGAAATTCTCATGTCAGTCTAGTATGAACTAGTCCGGTCCAATCAAGTTTGAGCTGTTATGGTATGTTTAAGTTTGGTCTAGTGTGATAAGGTTTGGTATTCTTTGTATTTTTGTATTTCCCTAGTCTAGTCATGTTTGATCTCGTCTAGTTTGGTTTGTTTAAGTATGATGCAGTTTGATTTGTTTAAGTTTGGTGCGGTTTTGTTTGTCTAAGTTTGGTGCGGTCTGTTCTGTTTAAGTCTGATCAACTCTGGTCTCATACTGAAATCAATCCAACTAAAAATACCCTAAGATCAAAATCAATTTACAAAACAATCCCTCTCTACAACATCCATCAAGATCCAAATCAATAAACTA